CCCCAAAACCCCAAAACCCCAAAACCCCTTTTTGAGGATTGTTAATTGAATATAATCACAAATATTCTTAATGGCAAAAAGAAATAGAATGGACTCTGTTGATAGGCTGGAGGTAGATTCTCCACTGTTAATTAGATCAAATAAGGGTGAGGGAAGCTATAATAAGTAATATTACATGTTTTATCTCTAGGTTCATCAGTTCCAGAGATGTCCAATTGGACTTGAAAATGACAAAAAGTGAGAGAGATGGTAGTTCAGTGCAATCCAAAAAGAGAGCTGCGAAGATCAGAAAATAAAACATCTTTGATTTTCCCTGAAAGCTGCTTGAAGAACACCAAATTAAGCATAGATAGCTCTAAAGCAGTCAACATGAGAATCTTATACTCCAGAAAAAGGTGAAAATCAAAGATGGCTAGGAGGTCATTAAAGAAGAGGGTCAGTAAACCTCTATTTTTGGAAGGAAATCTTTCTAAATATGAACCAGTCAAGAGACTTAAGAACCAACGTATGAATTCAACGCTGATTGAAGAACTAGAGAATTTCATCCCAATGCCTTGAGATATGATTGAGGATAAAATTGAGTACTACTTCTCACCTTACAGCAAAGGTAACGACTTTAAATCATTCAGTTTCTGCTATTTTTCTAAAAGGTTATTTATTTGTACAAATTTTGAACATTTTTCACAATTCTTCATGCTCTTCAACATTAGCCTTTCTTATGGAAATTCTAGAAGAAGATGGGCAAATTCAAAGGTTACACTATGACAAGTTTATGCAGTTTGACCTCCCTCAGAAGGATAAACTCCCTGCAGCTGAGACTGGAGACTCATCTGGCTGGAAATAAACTTATGAACTTTATTACAACTGAGAACCAGATGGTGTTCAGAAGATCTTTGAAATAAAATAAATAATCAGCTTTATTCTAAGTTAAGAAATATCATATCCAAGAATACTATGAGTAAGTATTTCTTGCCTGAGAAGGCAAAGGATCAATGAGGCTCGATTTCCAGCGAATTCTCCGATCATGGAAGTATCAAGAGGCGCACGGTAGTAGCCCATCGGGAGAGAATGAGTCTGAATTTGAACCAACATCCCAGGAAGAGGTACGAACTGGCTTTTATTTGTAGCAGAATTCTCTCCGGAGTTCATCGACATCGACCTTCCTTGAACCAAGCTGAGCAGTTTCTCATGTCGATCCATCATGAAAGCATGAGCAACCTTATTGGTCGGGTAAACCAACAAAAACTAGACAAAGATAAAAAGTATGAAGTTTCACAATTTCCAGATTTTAATGTAGTGTAATAGGAAAGAAGAAAACTTTACCAAAATATTTGAGCAGCAGATGTCGATGATCAAGGAGAAGTCTTCAAATAAGAACTCTCCCTCTCCTAATAAGAAAAGGAAGAAAGTTATGAAGAAGGTTAAGGAAGATGTTGCAGCGTATTGATATCTCAAAAAATCTACAATAAAGAGTAGCATTAAATAAATTTGAGCCTGTTGGGATTAACAAATCTATCGTAAACTTGAATGCTTCATGATCGATCCCTGATTTGAAGACATTTGATAAGAGAGCAAATTCTAAACTACAAACAACAAAAGTACTTTAAATTTGATAACATTATACAGACGACGCATACTAGTTGTAATGCAAGTGTTGAGAACACAAATAAGGGTTATTCATCACTAGAAAGACCCTTATCGCGGTCTCTTTACCAAGACATGCAGGTGCCTCTCACCATGGAGCCAAGTAAGTCACCTCCAGTATAAATTCATGCATTCATGGGCCAACCTTTTGTCGTTTAGAGTGGATAAAATAACATGCAGAAGCAATGCCGGCGGGTCTTACAGGCAGCTTCAAAGTCATTCAAACTTCCCAAAAATGCAAGTAAATTTCATTGGATTATATGTAGAAGATCTGATTAAGAAGAAGAGGATCAAGAGAAAACACAATCTTAATAAAGCATATCAAGGTTTTGGAGTAGAAATCTAAATTTGAGAACCACCAATAATTCATCAAAGAAGCTCTAGAACTCTGGGAGCGGTCATTCTAAACTATAGTCTTTGTGAGTCACTAAATATTCGGATAAGTTGTCCTGTGTGAGGTCGAAGAATTTAGAGATTTGGTCGAAAAAAAATTATTTTAGAGTATTCAATTGCTCAAAATTATATAGGGGTTTTGGGGTTTTGGGGTTTTGGGG